CTTATACTTCTTTTCGAAATTGCTTTTATCTAACTGAAACAACACCAAAATCACATCCGTAATAAATAATACAATTGCCTTCATTTAAATGCCTTCATTTAAAATTTATAGTAATTAATTAAGACAAGCGATGCTATATTATATCAGAAATCAGTATTTCAGTGGATTTCCAAACGGGATTAATTGGCTATTTTAATTTTAAGGAAACGTGCTTTTTTAATAAATATTAATTGAAATTTTGATAGTCTTTAGTTGATAAACTCTTTTGTATTGAATAAGATGCTTTTAGTTATAAATTATATATATATATTTATGTAAAACATAAACAAAAAGATCATCAGCTAAACAAACATAAACTCTTTTTATACATGGCAATCAAGTCATTTTTCCCCATTTCCCCAGAAATCTCCTTCTCCTTATTTTCTCTCCTTTAACCCTTTAACGACAGGAACTCTGTGGCAAGGAAAATGTCATTTCGTTTTTATAATTGGGAATTCCCGGAGTCCAACTTTTGGATCCAGCCTGTCGCAGGGCCAGATTTTCTTTCACGTTTAAAACATTTGGGGTGGGGGGGTGTTTGGTTTTTTTTTTCTTTGCATTTTTTAAAGATTCTAATGCGTGTTTCGTTTTACAGAATTTTACTTTTTAAATAGGAAATCGTTTTGAGAAAAGGCTTACGTGTCAAATAAATGCTAAATTCCAAAACAATGAAACGAAACATGTAGAAACATTGGTTGATGATAATAAGCTTGCAAATTGACTGATAAGAAAATATTTTTTTAAGAAATAGTTTTGTTTATCTAAAAACATGTTGTTGGCTTAAAAAAAATACATGTTATCAATGTTTTAAATTTGCGTTAACAACCGGACTCACATATATGATTAAAATATAATGTTACTATATGTCTTACACCTTCAGTTGAATAGTCTATTTTCTACCTGTCGCATGTCTTCCCACACCAACGTACGACATACACGTGTGTTCCTCGAACCCCTAACCCAGTATCTAACTAAAACGTAACTTGTATGTGGCTATTTCCTCCATCATTTTATAAATTACTGAGCATATATTAATATACCTGCTTGATTGTTTTAGTGGTTTTAAAATCATAGTTGTTTGAAAGTCTCAAGTTCAGATCCCAGGTTAGAGTCTACGCGACGTCCGTGAGTGCACCCAACTCTGATGGTAAAGTAAAGGTAGCTGATCATAGTGTTGGTTACACTTTACTTTCATATGCTGAAGTCACTAAAATAGGTGCAATCTGCTTCACCTGATTAAAGTTCGACAACTGACTGTATGTTTTTTTCTCACACATACAATCTTTGGTTAAGGTTAATATCACTAATCGTCTAACCATTATCAGAAAAGAGTTATAAAATTAGATCGTGTATAATATAAATTAGAGTACTCATTAGATAAGTTAACCGTTCTATTATTTTTTTAATGGTAGCTCTCCAACTACCTAGTTTATCTAAACCAGAGGAATGACACTAAGTTCTTCCTCTGAACTCTAATTCACTGAAATCTCTTCATTTAATTGGTGTAATCTTAACTATAGTATAATCTTAACTCTACGGTTGTGCTTTTTAGTGTATTTTACATGTTTTATTTTACAATCGCTGAGAGAAAAAAAAGTGTTGAATGAATGTGCTTTTTACTTATGTCTCGCTTTAGAGACAGAGTGGTCGTATTTTAGAGCCAAAGACTGCTATCATGAAAGTCTCGAGTTCGGATCCCGAGATCTATTCTGACGGAGATCTCTGAATCCACTCAGCTTTGATGGGTACTCGACTGATATTAGGGAAACAAAGGCGGCTGGGGTTGGTTCTGTACAACCAATCTCATAAACCGGAGTCATGGAAAATAGATCAACTTTACTTCAACTGCCCCCAGTGTATTAGGCATAGACGGGAAAGACGAAGATGGCCGTTAGGTGAAGCATACAGACCTAAGTTTAGCGTTGGGATAGTTGTACTAGCAGCCAACCAGCCCAAAGTACATCCTATCGTCTGATCAATACGATCATGTACACGGAGCCAACAACCCAACACCCAATTCAGTAGACGACATATGGTGCTATAAGCATATCCCGATAGAGAGGATTAATACAATGGCTTGATTACATTATAATAATTATTAATTAGACCGTAGGTTATATTATGGTGTAATGAAGTTTATGAGCGGGAGAGTTGTTGCTTGTATTAATTATGTGTAGTGGTGATTACGTAGGTACTTCATCGGTTTTTTTTAAGTATCGTTGTATTTTTTTATCGAATAAGTGTATTCAAGGTAGGTTTTACTTTGTAGTATCGTATGTGGTATAAATAGTATCGTTTGTGTAGGTATCGTGGTATTATTGTATCTAATCACTGCAGTTTTGCGTCGTGTTATTGTGTGGTATCGTATATGGTTTAAATAGTATCGTTTGTGCAGGTATCGTTGTATTTTTTATCGAATGAGTGCAGTTTTGCGTGGTGTTTATGAGTGGTATTGTATATGGTACAAAAGTATCGTTTTGTGTAGGTATCGCTGCATTCATGTATCGAATCACTGCAGTTGTGCGTGCTGTTAGTGTGTGGTATCGTAAGCAATATAAATAGTATCGTTTGTGTAGGTATCGTGGAATTGCTAGATTGCTTCAAAATATTTTTGAACAATATGATAGTGCAGTTCTGTTATATGGTACTGGAGGTATCAGTTTTGCAAATATCGGGATGTCATTTTTAGGTAATGTATTGTGATATTTCGGAACGGTACTGGTTTTATTCACGTAGTAAGGAACCATATCTAGTTTTTAGTACCTAAACGTTATTTAGAGTCGTTACGAAGAATCGCATTTTTTAAAAATAATTTTAATACAGTAACCTCTTAGAATATATGGTATCAATGTACATCATCGGTGCATTGTTATGCCATGGTAGTTGTATCGCTATGTGGTATCGTGGCATAAAGTAAGGTTTCTTTTGTGGTAAGGTATCAGTAGGTTGGACAGCGGATGCAGCATCGAATCTCTCAGAGGTATCGATGTCTCCGGATTACAACTAAATGGAGTTCGTAGCCGTCAGGTCGGTTAAGCTCATGGTAGCTGAACCGATAAGTTCAGTATTTGAAGCCCCGGGAGGGGTCGGCGTGGTTGAGTCGGTAAAAGCTCATGGTTGCTGAACCGGTGAGTCCCGTGTTTGAACCCCCGGGCAGATGAGGCTCGGTAGCTGGGGACAACCACTCTTCTAAGAGAGACAACTCTAAAATCAAACAACTGCTGCCTTGTAGTTTGTTCTTGATTGGACAAAGGCTGTGGAATCAAATCAAAAAAGAAAAGCTGGCTGAAATCGTAGTCTACGGCATAAATGGAGTATAACCAATTGTCACGTACAGTTAATTGTGTTTGAGGGAATCCCTTTCAACATTAAAATTAAGAAAGAAGAAGAAGAATTACAACTAGCGATTTTCTACGTATCTTGATTTGAACAATTTAAAAAATCACACGCTTCTTTGAAATAAGCACAATTTACACAAGAAATATTCCAGAAATTATCAAAAACCCTTATCTACCCTGCCATAATGCCGGTGTCAACAACATCATATATCCCGTTATCAAAAACGTTAAAACATTTTAATTGTTTTGTTGACAGATGGTTTAAGCAGAGAGTAGTGCCCCTTCACTCCCGTGTTATTTCCACGCACACGTACGCTAGATCCAGGTAAAACTGCTTCCGGTTTTAAGATACACAAAACGGAAGCTGGATATTCTGTTATAAAAAAACGTTTTTTTTTTAAAAAAAAACTCACCGCATGCGATTTTACAGTTAGGATAGATGTTAAGAATTTCAGTAATATTTGATATAATCAACGGTTGCTTTTATTTAACATTTACGTGGAAGTATATGCGTGGTCAAATGATAGAGCTTAAGACGTCTAACTCGAAAGTCTCGTGTTTGGATCCCAAGCTCCAGTTACTTTGACTCCCCTGAGTTGACCCAGCTCTAATAGGTACCTATCTCACGTTATAGAAACTAAGGTGGATGGACATGGCGCTGACCACACTATCATCTTCTATACAGAGCTCATTGTAATAGGAAAACTCCACTTTATCTGCATACCTTGTCTCGGTTACAAAGGAAAAACTAGAATAATCTGCTAAATAGTACACAAACATAAAAGTAATTAACTATTTTTTAGAGCATAGATGTGCTATAATACATTGCGTGAATGGTTTTATAACATCTAATTCTAATAAAGTGTTTATGGACTTAAAATATATTTGGACTAAACATATTAGAAAATAAAGTTCTCGCATTCGATCGTCCGCAACACATAAAAAAGAAAAGCATTTGCTTAAGTTCGCAATGGCTATTTTCAATGTTATAACTGTTAACAGCTGTTACTGTTTTGTATGGTATGCTAATGTTTTCACGGATATATGCGCCCGCTCAAAAACTCTACACATTTAAGTTTTATTTAATTTAATATAATGTGAATCAGAATCCTGAATCTATTTGGCCAACTGTAACCTAGAGAAAAAAAATCTTCTGCTTGTCAAAAATCGAGTGAGTGCTACTACAACAAACAAACAAACACAACAACAACAACAACAATAGAACAAGAATGAGCTTCTCATACTAACTCACACTGCCACGTTAAAAAGTAAAAAGAAAAACATCAGTAATTGTTTATTTATTGTTGCCATAACGCTACTCACAAACTCGAGGCTCCATAAACAATCTGTATTATTTTCTTGTGTTTTCCCACAAGCAACAGAAAGTAACACCATCTCTCTACATCATCCCATAACTCAACAGTCTTTACTCCCTTCTGTAACTACATTGTCTTCACCCCAATCTTATAATTTGGTTAGCCTTCAATCCTTCTGATCTCCCCAGTCTTTGTCTCCCCCTCCTCTAACTCAACCAGTACTCCCATCCTCCTACGCTCCACATCTAGTTACTCCCTCCTCCACCACTCCACCACCAGTTACTCCCATCCTTCTCAACTCCACCAGTTACCAGTCCGCCACCACTCCACCACCAGTTATTCCCTCCTCCACTCCACAATTTACTCCCTCCTCCACCACTCCACCATTTACTCCCTCCACCACTCCACCAGTCATCCCATCCTCCACCACTCCTCCAGTTGCGCCCTCCTCCACCACTCCACCACCAGTCCTTCCCTCCTCCACCACTCCACAACCAGTCCATCCCTCTTCCACCACTTCACCATTTACTCCCTCCTCCTCCACCACTCCACCAGTCCTCTCATCCTCCACCACTCCACCATTTACTCCATCCTCCACCACTCCACCACCAGTCCTTCCCTCCTCCACCACTCCACCAGTCCTCTCATCCTCCACCACTCCACCAGTCCTCTCATCCACCACTCCACCATTTACTCCATCCTCCACCACTCCACCAGTCCTCTCATCCTCTACCACTCCACCATTTACTCCATCCTCCACCACTCCACCATTTACTCCATCCTCCACCACTCCACCAGTCCTCCCATCCTCCACCACTCCACCATTTACTCCATCCTCCACCACTCCACCATTTACTCCATCCTCCACCACTCCACCATTTACTCCATCCTCCACCACTCCACCAGTCCTCCCATCCTCCACCACTCCACCAGTCCTCCCATCCTCCACCACTCCACCAGTCCTCCCATCCTCCACCACTCCACCAGTCCTCCCATCCTCCACCACTCCTCCAGTTGCGCCCTCCTCCACCACTCCACCACCAGTCCTTCCCTCCTCCACCACTCCACAACCAGTCCATCCCTCTTCCACCACTTCACCATTTACTCCCTCCTCCTCCACCACTCCACCAGTCCTCTCATCCTCCACCACTCCACCATTTACTCCATCCTCCACCACTCCACCACCAGTCCTTCCCTCCTCCACCACTCCACCAGTCCTCTCATCCTCCACCACTCCACCAGTCCTCTCATCCACCACCACTCCACCATTTACTCCATCCTCCACCACTCCACCAGTCCTCTCATCCTCTACCACTCCACCATTTACTCCATCCTCCACCACTCCACCATTTACTCCATCCTCCACCACTCCACCAGTCCTCCCATCCTCCACCACTCCACCATTTACTCCATCCTCCACCACTCCACCATTTACTCCATCCTCCACCACTCCACCATTTACTCCATCCTCCACCACTCCACCAGTCCTCCCATCCTCCACCACTCCACCAGTCCTCCCATCCTCCACCACTCCACCAGTCCTCCCATCCTCCACCACTCCACCAGTCCTCCCATCCTCCACCACTCCACCAGTCCTCCCATCCTCCACCACTCCACCAGTCCTCCCATCCTCCACCACCCCACCAGTCCTCCGATCCTCCACCACCCCACCAGTCCTCCCATCCTCCACCACCCCACCAGTCCTCCCATCCTCCTACTATCCCCACAATACATCCACTCAGCTATAGACCACAGTGGGAGCTAATCCCCGTCTAATCCCATTGAACGTCCATCCTGAAGACGGCACGGAGCTAAGGCGATCTAGAACTTAGAAGACGCGGGCTGGTCTAAGGGCTGAAATACCCGACTTAAGCACTTCTCCTAACATCTATGTCAACTGGAAAGCTAGCAGAAACGTACGCAGTTAATGCCGGTGCCTTAAGCTAAGAACGAAAATGCATTTAGTATTTTGTTAACAGAAGCGACCAGACATGAAGTAATTATTTTTAATTCCAGTTTTTTTTTTTTAAACTGAGTTGAAATCGATTTAACGAACTCACTTGAAGTTTCTGGTTCAATTGGTTTAGAAGTACCGACATGTAGTGTTGAGGTTAGGGTTAATGCTTAGTGAAACATTTGTAATCAAAGTAGCCAAATATGTTGAGCTCGAAGTTGTTTTGTGAAGGTTTTGTAGTTAGAATTATGAAGTTCTACATTTTACATTTAAATAGTTCGTGTTTGTTTTACTTGCAGTAGAGTGCTTTACCACTCAACTACGCCGTCCCCAATTTTTTTTTAAATTGGGAACTCTCTGAGATAGCCCTGTGTTGCTCTTTGCTAGATAAATCAGTGCATAATTATCTTTTTTAAATGATTTTAATTTCAACGTTTAGTTTACAGTATTTCTTCCAGGCATCATATACTTTTACCAGTGTCCGCCCCCCCCCCCGGAAAATTTAGTCCACCCCTCTCACCCCCCCGAAAATATTTCATGTGCCAAACCCCCCCCCCCCCCCCCCCAAAAAAAAAAAACAAAAAAGAAAAAAGTCTAGAAGACTGGAAGAAACACTGTTCACAGTGGATATTTGCAAATAAAAAGTAAATTAAATTTACCTGAAGACTTATTAAACTTTATGTGTAAAAATGACTGTTTACACATTGAATTTAAAATGTTTCATTCTCGATCTAAAATATACAAGATATTTTTTTTTTCATTTAAAAAAAAAACAACTAAATTGCATGAACGAACGTGTTTCGTGTTTATGGCAAAAACAACCTTGAAAGACATTTTTTCGAACGGATCATTCGGAGGTCAAGACAACTAAAACCGATCCAGCTGTATATAAAAAAAAACGTAAGAAAATCTCCGGTAACACGCATGTACTTTTGATGTTGTCCAAGCCAGATCTCACGGCACTTTGGGGAAATCTACCGCGTCCTTGGATACCACGGGGTTAAGACAATTACACGTCTGGGACACACCGGTGCATAATCTGCGTTTGTATTACAACTTCTAATTTATTTTGTGTTTCGTTGTCTTCGACTACCCCCAACAAGTGGCTGATTTCGGAATTGTAATCGTGTGTTTGGTCTTATAAACTGTGGTTTGTTTTGTTTTCCCTGTATAAAATGTGTATTTTCTTCTTGTTTTTATGCCAACGACTAGTAAGTGAATTGTGCGTCTTTTATATTTTGTTTAGTTCACATAGATTAGCAGCAATGGTTAAACATTTTACATTTTCTCTTGTTAACAAAGATTAACAAGAAAACGTAAAGCTTAAACTCGAGACTTTTCGGTTTAGTAACCATGAGCTTTACCGACTCGACCACGCCAACCCCTATAATCAGAGGCGTAACAAGGGGGCAGGGGGGGGGGGTAATATGTCACCGGGCGCCGACCCTAGGGGGCGCCAAAATGGGTTGGAAAAAAATTAAAAGCTCATTTAAGCTGCAGTTTTGCATTATAAATATTTAAAAAAAATATATGGGGTGGGGGCGCCAAATTGAAAGTTTGTCCCCAACGCCGGGAAGGGTCGCTACGCCTCTGCCTATAATACCCTATTAATATCACTATACTTATTTGCAAACTTGTTTTACACATTTTTCGTTTTTAGATTTTCAATTAATTAACACAAGACCAAGGAATTATAATGTCCATTTAATAAAACACAATACACAAAATTATAATGTATTTTATCAGCTTACTGTTTTCATTAATCCCAATTTGAAATTTAAATTCATATTTAAGCTGAACATATTAATAAAGTGGAATTATTGGATGTTTCCTGTTGTATATTGTTTTATTTCCTTTGTTTAACACGAGTGATGATATACACAAACGGTTACATGTAATTGTTACAATATATAGAGTCACTACTATGGGGGTTTTCCTCTTTCCAGTGTCCATACTGGACTATCCCAAAAATAGGTGTAGCTAGACTTGATTTAAGTCATCTTTGCTACTTGTCGAACATAGGACTTGAATCTAACCCTTCTATTTTAAGCTGTCTCCGGCTATTAATTTTGTAATCGCCCATGTAATTTTGATATTAATGTAAGTGTTGGGAACATATTTACGACAGTTCGTACATTGGTAGCGATAGGTTTAACTTTAAAATTAGCGTGAGCTATTTGTGAATATAATTTACTACGTGTAACATAATACCCCTTGTAAAGAAGATTTCCCTACACAAAAATAGGATAGACACATAAATTATAAACTTTCATTGTGTATTATTGCGCAATTATTTTAACACATAAAACTCCCAAAGGCATTGAAGTACTTTTTACATAAACAATTATGTGTATCACTTTCCATTAACTTTAAGTAAAGAAAGTAAACAATGATTAGTACTTCATAGCTTTGACGTTACACGAGAAAGAGAAAAACAACGGAGCGACTATTACGATTAATCTAATCACTATTTGAAAGACGCATCGCTTTATCAAATCGACTACAACTTGTATGATTGGAATAAGGCGTATAGGGGTGCGGTTTCTTATTTGGTGTTTGTCTTATACCGAGGGTTGTTAAGTCTGTATCGGCGAGTTTATAACATGTTCTTATAACTACACAAGAAAGAAAACTAACATTTTTAAAGACTTAATACTGAAGTGTGGAGGTGAAATGTGAAGATCAGCAGTACAGGGCAGGGGCGTAGCGAGGGGGGGGGGGGGCGGGGTTGCGGACCGCACTGGGTGACACCATTTAGGGGGGTGACACCAAGGCAAAAAATAGCAAAATATATAGAGAAAAAATTGAGGGGGGGGGGGGAAATCGAAAACTTGAGGGGGTTGCAAATCGAAAATTTTAGGGGGGGGGGGTGCAAATCGAAAACTTGAAAGTTTGTCCCCGGGAAGGGTTGCTACGCCTCTGGGGGGGGGGGGGTGACACCGCACTGGGTGACACCCGACCTCGCTACGCTATTGATACAGGGATATTGTCCGAGAATAGTGTTGTTGTTGTTTTGTTTTGTTTTTCGTACTTTATAGCTTTTTAGTTTTCCTCTAACCTTTTTGGCTAGGTTGTGTGTTTTGGGGTGTAAATTTGGTTTAAAACCGTGATTGTCTGTCTCTAAACAGCGTTTACAACAGGGATAATTTTTTAACAACAGACCAACATCGTTCAAATCCTGAGCAGTGACAGGAAAATGGGGAAGCACTCTGAGGGCATGTAATCACCCAGGGGAGAGTAATCCCCATTTATCTCACTAAATCGGGAAGCTATAACTATGTACTCTGTAGAGACGGGGAAGGATGGGGGTATAATGTGCTTGGCCACGAATAGAGTGGTCAAGTACCACATATAATTATAGCGCCAAATTAATATTCCGTGGATATTCTTTACAATTTCTACCATTCAAACCGCTTTCAGTGATATTTTTGGAAGATGTTAATATTTTAATTCATTTAAGGCGTATAGCAACGTTTTTAAGTAGTTATTATTTATCAAGAGAAATTTTAAAAATCCGGTGATTTACGACATACACATTATAAAACTTTTATGCATGATTAATTGTAAGGAATTATACAGTGCTGGTTATGCAAGAAGTTAGATCTATATTTCATCTAAGTGTTAAGATTTCGTGTTAAACTAACCTATTGGTAAAGAAGCAGCTATTTATGTGTTCATCTAGGCCTATATGGATTTTAGTTCAGGTGAATCATTTGGGATGGGGGTTGAGAGTGGTGATAGTCGGGGGGCAGAAAATGTTTCACTTTGTTTACCCTAACCTAACCCTAACCTTTGAAAATATTTACAAAATCACAACAGTATATTTTTATAAAAATACGCATTAGTTTTGTAAATATTTTAACATTTTTCTTTACAGTACATTATAAATCATTACATTAAAAATTAATATAGCAGCGTTCTATAAAAGATGTGTCAATATTTTGATGACAAATTTGGTATATGTGTGTGTATGTGTGTGTGTGTGTGTGTGAGAGAGAGAGAGAGAGAGAGAGAGAGAGAGAGATAACTTTTTTTTTACAAATAAACCCTCAGTGATTTCTTTTTGTTTCACTAAACTATGTTAAGCTGTTACAACTTTTGATTGCATCTTCACCACGTGGCATTATCCGCCGGAAATGCATGCCACACACCTGCGCGGTGTAATGCTAGCTGATCTATTGAAAGGATAGCCGCCCTAATCTAACAATCATTCACTCATTTACTCCTGGCTAGAACCGAGCAAATAGCCCACAATAACAATCAGTCACGGATGACTGATTTTGGGGAAAGATAGTATGAATTTTTGATGTAACGCTTTGTTGATCTTTTATCGATTTAACAAAGTTAAAAGACTACCGAGTTTACTGTAAACAATACATTTTTTTACACTGAATTGTCGGCAGTTATGATTGTCACATTAAGGCTTTTAATGTTGTATTATTTTAAAAATAGACTCTGTTATAAATATTAAGTCAAATTAGAATTAGTACGCCAGCAAATAAGTCAGCCGATTAATCATAGTACATTATACATTTACAATATTTACGGCTTTCACTTAACCCAAGTGTTCTATTTCATCTTTTCTATTTATTTATTCAAGATGTATACACCTAAATATATATACCCACATCATTGTAAAAAAATGTTTGGCAATAGATGTTGCCAGAATTACACAATAATTCCTTTTTATCAAATGTTTAATACGAAAATGTAAATTTAAACAAAGCTTTAAAACTTTGTTGTGAAAACTTTTAAAACTGGAGTAAAAACAGTCTGGTTATTTGGAAGCGATGCGTTTTGTAATTGTTTACTATTTTATCTGTGTAAACCGACATTCTGATGCTATGTTATTAAAGTTCCATTTTTCAACCTGACGGTCTATGGTGAAAGTGAAAAAGAGTTCACCTGTTTTGTGACCTAGGTATTTGAAGGGATAGTATGGTCAGCACCATACATAACGTGTATCAGGTAAGTATCAAAGCTGCGTGGACTCAGGAACGTCCTACGGATTTGAACCTGGATTCGAACTCGAGACTTGCAGAATAAAAGTCGTATACTCTACCAATCGACCACACTGCCCCAAACTGATATTTTAGTTAAATATAAAAAAATTCCACCAGGGTATTAAGAACATATGTTAATACAATTATGTTTATTGAAAATTTAGAAAAATGCGCTGTGTATTTTCAGGTCTGAAACGATGGAAGACGCCGTTCTCAACTCGACTCTCTACAGCTACTTTGGTAATCAGAGCTCAGTCCAAAACACTTATCACCCAGGAAACGTTACGGCCAGGACGGGCTTTGCTCTGGTAAGATAAGGGACTTTACCCCTTTTGGTGTGTGTAGATTACCTTCAGCGCTTGCTTCCCCTAAGTGTACTAATGCCGTTCTTTGTATTCTATACGGAAAACGTATGAGAAATGAAAATAGAACTGTAGACCATCAATGTGTTTCGAGTATTAACGCGTTGGTTGAAGTGTCCTTCAATCCGTATACAAATCGTATATATATATATATATACGATTTATTATTCACAACTGATAACGTATACATGTGTTAGAGGTATTACAAATGAGCCCATAATAAAACACTTTTAAAGCCACATACTTATAAATTAGCAATCATTCATGAGTCACCCACAGTGGGTTAAAAGCAATCACCCAACTGTCGTCAGAATATGTGATGTCATCAATGTCATAGTTGATGACTAATACATTACCTAAATTAACACTATGTCGCTCACTGTGTAATCCTTATGACTGTAATAATCTAAAGCATGTAATGATAGTTTAAAGGTGCAGTGGCGTAGCGAGGTCGGGTGTCACCCGGTGCGGCACTTAATGGTGTCACCCCCCCCCCCAGAGGCATAGAGACCCTTCCCAGGGACAAACTTTCAAATTTTCGATTTGCACCCCCCCCCTCGAGTTTTCGATTTGCACCCCCCCCCTCAAACTTTCGATTTGCACCCCCCCCCTCGAGTTTTTCTCTATTTATTTTGCTATTTTTTGCCTTGGTGTCACCCCCCTAAATGGTGTCACCCGGTGCGGTCCGCACCCCCCGCCCCCCCCCTCGCTACGCCCCTGTAAAGGTGCATACGTTAACCAGAAAATATGCATTTTCACATGAAAAATATATTGAAATTTATTGGATATTAAATAAAATAACAGGAGGGTTATGAAAAATTAAAACAAATTGGAAAAAACATTTATGGTATCTTTTATTGTCGTATATTGCGTTTGAGTTATTTTCACAGTAAACGGAAACTGCATTATTCTGAAATATACACCTCATCAGTTTAGTCTGGCCGAAGTAGAAATTGATACTAAATTAAGTGGGTACTTTTGTTCCATTTAAAATGATATTAAACTGTTGACTTGGTCACAAGCAATAAGTTAAACAATATTTTTAGAACAAGTTTAATATTCGTGTTTTATTTTTTACTTTCTCGTATATACGAAGTATAGAGAAAGTCTTGTAATCGTGCAAAAAAAAAATCGAGATTTTTGCAAATCTCGACGTTTTGCATCTCACTGATACGGAAAAACACAATTTTGCAATCTTGTCCGTATGTCTGTGTGTCTGTGTGTGTGTGTGTGTGTGTGTCCGTGTGTAAACACGATAACTTGAGTACCGTTACAGCTAGATTGATGAAATTTCATATATAAGTATTTTATCAAAATCGTAGATCCGTATCAACTTTTGAGCGATTTCCGATAACCGGAAGTGGTACTTTTTCTACTTTGAAATTTTCAAAAGCCTATAACATGAGTACTAATTCAGATAGATAAATGAAATTTCGCATGTAAGTAAAAGATCTAATTCTCTACCTTCTGTTAAATTTTGAGTCATTTCCGTTGACTGGAAGTAGTAATTTACGCTACTTCCGATTTCTCAAAAAAACTAATGTAAATTTTAAAAGTACTAATAATATTGCGCACTATTATGCGCTTTTTTATTTCGCGTTCACTTGGTGTGCAATTAATTTGTCTACGAGATTTTATTCTATTTTTAAAACTTTAAGTATTTAAAATGGATTAAAAATCATGTCTATAGCCCGAGTTCCCATCCCCTGTTATCCTAATATATAAAACGCCATGTGCGCTCTTCTCTCTCTCTCTCTCTGTCTGTCCGCAAAAAATTTTCGCCGGACATCACGTCAGAAACGGCAGCGATATATGGAGAACTTTATACGGACTTCTGTTGAAAATAATATGTTAGATGTTTTAAATGTATAACCACAATTTTAGTTAAAGAAGAAAAATAAAAATTAAAGGCGTATTCGAATGTAGAGAAACAGTATTATTTATGCAACCGGAAAAGCATTAATAAATGTGAAAAAGAACGCATAAAACTGTGACGTCACTATTGCTTATACATTAACTAATGACGTCATCTGCCGTGTTTTGAATAAAAAGAAATGAACTATTTCATTCAAATTTGATTTAGATCTACGTACACTATGAAATGTATACAATACAATTTTTCCGGCCTAAACTCATAAAATTTATTTTACGTATTTGGATTCTAGATCTAGAGATTCTAGATCTAGACTAAATCTACGCAATAACTAGATCTAGACGTAGACGCTAAGATCTAGATTTAGACTCTAACTTCTCTAAAATCAATTCCAAAAATAAATTTCTATATTAGGACTAAACTATTTCAAGACTTATTTATTTTATACAAAATCTTTGTTTGGAACTGGCTAATTTGGGATAAAAAAATTAATTTGAAAGAATAGGCATATTCGCGTAAGTTAAGATTTTAAAATACGTGTTTCATTCTCCGTAATTTATAAGGTACCTAAATAGCGGAGATGTTAGTGTACTATAAACCACGCAGGTTGTGCGGGTTCGAGACACACCAAGTCAACTTGGTTCATATATTTTTTTTTTATTATGCTCGGGCTAAACTTAAAAAAAAAATTCTTTTAGGAATCTAGATCTAGATTGTCGGGTGTCCGATAGGGCACTTCCCGGCGCCGCAGGCGCTTCAAATTTGGCAGGATCTTGCCTTGGGGCGACAGAACACGGGGGCCGGTTGGCCGAAAAGTCTACGATGAGGGGGTCAAAACTGACCTCGACTGACCGGTACCTTATATGAGCTATAAATCGAAAAAAAATGTCCACGGAGGAACCTCTTCATAACTCTTGAGGTCGTAGACCGACCCTCGGGTGAATTAATTAAGCATGCAAAATCTCAATGTTTTCTAAAGCCTAAGCGAAGCTGGGCAGCATGCCTAGTTTTATCTATAATAATAGTTTCGCTGTCTCTCTATCTATCTATCTGTCTGACAAGAACGCTCTAGAGAAAACACAAGGAATTTAAAAACCTGCACAGTAATTCGAAAAACGAAATATGACGTCGACACATATAGCGTAGAGTAGAACATAATCTCAAACCAGAGAGTGCACACAGTAATGTAATGACGTCATTGAAACATTGAAAAAAAGGAAATGTTGTCTAATCTAAATGGTTTGCGTGAAGAGTTTCTTGCATACAATTCTTCGGGTAGGGGCGAAGCCCCACCCCCGCGTAAGAACGTCTGAGGGGGGTGGGGGGGGGGGGGGGTTGAGTGGGGGGGTGGTTTTAATTTAGACTTTTTCCTCCCCGGAGAGGGGTGGGGGTACTTGAAATTTTCGGGGGCGGGGGTAGAATTTTCGGGGAGGGGCGGACACTGGAAAAAGTATATAATTATATTTCGTTGAATGGGACGGTAGACATGTTTTTTTAGGGGGGGGGGGGGGGGTTGTGGGTGGGGGGTGGGGGGAGGGGGGGTGTGTGTGGGGGGGGGATGGGGGGTGAGTGGGGGGGGGGTGGTTTTAATTTAGACTTTTTCCTCCCCGGAGAGGGGTGGGGGTACTTGAAATTTTCGGGGGCGGGTGTAGAATTTTCGGGGAGGGGGCGGACACTGGAAAAAGTATATAATTATATTTCGTTGAATGGGACGGTAGACATGTTTTTTTTTGGGGGGGGGGGGGGGTGGGGGGTGGGGGGTGGGGGGTGGTGTGTGTGTGGGGTGGTGTGTGTAGGGGTGGGGGTGGGGGGTGGTGTGTGTGGGGGGGGGGGGGGGGGGTGGGGGGGGGGTTGGGGTGGTGTGGGTGGGGGTGTGGGTGGGGGTGGGGGTGGTGTGTGTGGGGGGGTGGTTTTTGTTTAGAGAAAAGAGACAGCACTATCAACCTAGCGCCCGGTGTATCCTTCCTCAACGGGCCATTTTTCTCGTATAAAAATATTCGAGAAAGTTTAGGGGAGATCACTCCCGGTTTATTATTTATTGAAAACATTCACGCATTTATTTATATTATGATCGTACATTGTGAAAAAATCAAGAATTTTGAAAATATTTATTGAAAAAAACTATATTAATGATGTTATTTACGTTAAAAAAAGTTTTAAAAATAAAACATCAAAGTGCTCCTTTATGATACAAGATGGGTAAAGATTAAATTATCTTAATGTCTCATGAGTAGTACAATGTGTTACTTATAAATTATGTCTAGCTCCAAAAGTCAATTATTTAGTTTCATCAACGTCAACTAGACACGTTAACAACTATACAAACCTATCAAGTATTAGATGTACCAGTCTATAAAAGTATATACATGGTTGGCTGCTTGTATTAGTAGCTTCACAATCGATAGTGAGTGGTTCGATTCATAGTTCTAGGACTCTGCATCGTATTCTCTTGTATTAATGTTTTTCCTCCCTTTCTGTGTTTCAAAGCGTTCTTTGATCAGCTGTCTGATAACATGTGGTTGGGTTATAAAGAATTTTGACATCATAATTGTGTTGTATTTTGAATGTTCGTTTTGCATTTTCTGCTGCTTTTATGTTGAATGTTAATTAGTAATTTTGGAAACGGTTGGATGATCTGAGAGCACGTTTTAATAAAAGGGTTTTGCCTAATGTATGTGTGTAGCTAAGTATGAGTTGAAGCTTGAGTTGAAGTTCAAAACTAAGGTTAAGTTACGGCTCAAGTTATGGGTAGAGTAAGGTTTTCAATAGCAATATGGCTACGTAGTTTAATAGGGCATTGGATGACTGCGCATTAAAAATACAAGCAAAAACATGGGCCTTAAGTTAAGAGCAGCCATATGATGGCCATGTATGTGTGTATGTGTGCTTTAGTGTGTGCGTGTGTATACGTGCATGTGTGTGTGTGTGTGGTGTGTGTGTGTGTGGTGTGTGTGTGTATGTGCGTGTCAGACTGACAAATTCGGCCTCACTGCTCAGTATGACTGACAACACATCCCACATCCCTAGGAGCTGACCTATCGTAATTCCGCTAAGTTTTGATAAACACGCGATC